ACGCCCGGCCCAAATCTTTTGTTTTTTAATTTAGGAAGTAATCAATGAAATGAGCTTTGTTTTAAAAATACTTTACTTACTATACTCAGTGTTTACTGTCCAAACTATAATTTAATGTGTAGTATTACATACCATAATAAGGTGCTAAGTTCTACTTTGAGTCATACCTTTTCATTTTCTATCTCATATATATTGAATGTATTTTTATAAGGAACATTGTTTTATTTTTACACTCAATAGTGTATACGTTTTACCTGCTGTAAAGCAGCTAACTATCATAAATTACTATTGTTTGGATGATGATTTTTGTTTCACTGCTTCCTATATGCTAGACAAGCGCTCTGCCACGGTGCTACTTTCCAGCCCCACATTTCTTTTTTTACACACATACAGAATTATATTTAATTTCATATGGAAGAATGTTTACACTTTTAAGTTATATGTATGAAATTAGAAGATGAAGTAAAGCTGAGGTTTTTACAACAAAGACAAGAAAATGTACAAGACAGAGAGCCCACAGTAAAAATCAGCACATGGGAACTTTCACAGAAAGCTACATCTTTTTAATCCCGTTGTTCAAGTCATCAAAATGCTAGTGCTTCAGTGCCATTAGGCGGGATCATAGACCAGCATTTTCCAGAGCAAATCTGAGCCATTTTCATCTAGGTTCTTGATGTGGGAAGTGAAGCTCCCTGGCTTCCCCTTGGGAAACTTGTTCTTGTAGTTGTGAAGAGAGTCCATTTCCAGCCACACTTCATTGTTAGGAGTGCCCGGAGCTCTGAAAATCCTGAAGAGTTGGTCGATTTCCAAGTCTCCATGGAAAAGTGACTTCTTAGTTGCCAGTTCTGCAAATATGGTGCCTGTACTCCAAATGGCAACTGTAGTCGTAGCGTGTGGCCCCCAGCAGCACTTCTGGAGACCCATATCAGAGTGTCACTGCCTCTGTCACTCCAGAAGCCCTGGCAAGGCCAAAGTCAGCCAGCCTAATTGTTCCTTTGTCATCGATCAATAGTTTCTGAGGTTTTAGGTCTCTGTGAAGAACTCGCCTGGAGTGCCAAAACACAATCCCTTGAGGGATTTGGTACAAGTAACTCTTAAGAAGTGAAGAGTTCATGAACTGACCAGGAGGCATGGAATCCAAGTACTTCTTGAGATGCATGGAAAGAATTCAAAGATGAGATACAATCTGAAATCCAGCATGAGCACATCTTAAAGACTGACTATATTTGGATGACGAATTAATAAAGAAATTCCCCGAATTGCAGTACTTGGAACTCTTTCCCCTTCACTTTCTAGTCTGATTTTCTTCATGGCCACCAAATGACTACACAACTGTATAAGTACCTTCTCCAATTTTCTCTATTTTGATGTAGTACTCCATAGTCACTGAACAGGTTATGATAGACCCCAGATCTTGTCCTGTGGTGGCTGTTCCTCCTTTTTTGTTTTTAAGTTTTATTTTATTTTTATTCATGGGGAGGGGGTCTGCCAGTGGAGGTCGGAAAAGGAATCCTGGAGTGGGAGGTACAGGTGCTTGTGAGCCAGCTGATGTGGGTGCTGGGAACCTAACTCAGGTCCTCTGTAAGAGCAGCAAGTGTTCTTAACCATTACACTGTCTTTCCAGCCCCATCATTTTCATTCTATATCTCTTTTCTCTCATGTCTTTATAACAAATTGCCAAGAAAAATCTTAAGAATATATAACTTATGGGCTGCAGAGATGGCTCAGCAGTTAAGAACACTGGTTGTTCTTGCAGAAGACCCAGGTTCAAATCCCAGCACCCACAAGGCAGCTAATAACTGTCTGTAACTCCAGTTCTAGGGGATCTGATGGCCTCTTCTGTCCTCTGCGGGCATTGCACAACACTGGTGCGCTTATCTACATGCAAGCAATACACTCATACACATAAAAATAATAAATAAAATGGTTAAAAAAAAAAACAACAAGCCGGACTGGAGGGTGATCAACACCTGACCACCTCCAGCCTCCATCCAAAAAAAAAAAAAAAGAATATATGAGTATTTTATGGCTCTTGAAATGTTTTCCCATATTTGGGAAAAGGATTATGTTTTTAATGCCCAAGTATTTGTGATATTTTATCCATGATACCTTGTTTGGGGACAAAGTTGGAAAAAGGACAAACCCTATGCTTTCTAGGACAGGACTTCTTAAACTTTGTCCACCTGTGACCCCTTCTACCTGAGAAATGGTTGTTAACTACATAAAAGCATGCCTAATAATAATCAGATAATGGCATAGTCAAACAAGAGTGGAATTTTTAAAGTTTTCCTGTTGATACAGAAGAAAAGTGTAAATAATATTTAAAATGTATAGAAATTAGGACACTGATAACATTCTTGGTGGAAAATAAGATTGGCTGCCTAGCTTTTGTAAAGAGCAGATTATAGTTTATCAAATCTTAAATAGGCCCCGGTAACCCATAAGAAGTAATTATCCCCTGGAGAACAGTGTTTCAGCATTTTTTGTAATGCCAAAGATAGGAGACAATTTGAATGTTATACTTATCTAGTATATATTTAAAAAGAATTTTTTAGTAAGAATGTATAACCAGCTAGAGAGATGACTGAATGGTTAAAGAACCCTTAATGGTCTTCCCCCAGAGGACCGGATTTTGGTTTGTAGCACAGAGATCAAGTGGCTTACAACTGCTTTTAACTCCAGTTCTAGGGGAATTCAAGACCCTCTTCTGGCCTTAGCAGGCACTCATACATAAATGCACATAAATTACAATAAAGTCACAGGCACTCATGTAGACATAAGCATATAAATTAAAATTACATTAAAATGTTTTTTTAAAAAAGTATGTTTTTAAAAAGTCTACATTCCAAACTGAAGGCATTGTTGGGAAGTAGAAGTGGAAGAGGGGCGTGGGTTGTTTTTTTTTTTTTTTTTTTTTTTTTTTTTTTTTAAAAAAGGGCTTGCACCCATCAAGTGATCCATACTAGGCAAGCCCTCTGCCACAATCCATGCCCAGTCCCTCCCTTCCAACTCCTCCCATAGCTCCCCATCACTTTTCCTGAACAACTTCATGTAGTCTATTTATTTATTTATTTATTTATTTAATTTATGGGGCTTTTTGGTACTCTAACATTCCCCCCTCTGAAGAGGTAACCCTAAAATCTTTAAGGGAATTAGATAAGAGCTCCCAAATACTTCTGACATTTTTGGCCTTTGGAACAGAGTATGTTGTTAAGAGGCCAAGGACATTTTGACTTTTAGCCAAGAAACTGGCTACTTTTCTTTGGGGTCTTTTTGCCCTAACTGCCTAGCCAATTCCTACCTCCTATTCTTATCACACCATCCCATAAAGAGGTTACCCAAATTGCTCATAGGTAATCAGGCCGCAGACTATTCTGGCTTCTTCCATGCTGAACAGGGATACAGGGTGAGGCAATTGGGGTACCCCTTCGGTGGGTCTATCTAAAAGACTCCCAAATTGTATAACTCTCATCTGTAGGGAGAGAAGAAAGTCCTTGATTGGTGCCTAGGAGATGTGGAGGAGAAGTAAGGGCAAGAGTAGTTAGCATTACAAGTTCTAGACAGGGAAGCAGAAAAAAGCCAAAACAGGGCAAATTTCAAATGTTCATATCAGAGTCCATTGGAATTTCTTGACAAGAACTTCCAAAAGCATCCCTCCATTAGGCTCCTCCTCATTTTTCTTTTGTCTGCCAAGTCCTGAGTGATGTGGACTCAGGATTTGTTTTCAAGCACTTTGACAGCTGTTGGAGTGGCTAGAATCAGTGTCAGTTCCCTAGCAAAGGCTTTTAGATAGGGGGAGAAAACAAATTTAGCCATCATTTTAGAACCGTAGTGGGTTGTCTCCCTTAGCTACATGTGGGTACTCTACAGTATTGCAGATGGGGCATGTTTTTTATATTCTTATAATATTAAAAAAAATTTTTAACCACCATATAACAGTTTCATATTTTTTAAAAAGCCAAATCTGTAAAGCTTTGGAAAAACTGGAAGCCCTGTGCTTGAGTTAGATTAAGAAGAAATCCAAGGCAGGAAAATAAAGATTTTTTTTGGCTTTATTCAGAAGTGAAAGATCTTTATAGGCTAGGGCTAGTGAGATGACTCTGATAAAGAGCTCTGACTACTCTTGCAGAGGACCTGGGTTTGGTTCCCAACACCTACATGGCTACTAACAGCTGTCCTTAACTCCAGTTCCAGAGGATCTGATACCCTCTGGTCTCCACAGGCATTGTACACATAGGTGTTCTTACATACATGCAGGCAAAACATTCATACACATAAAAAATTTAAAAATAAATTTTAAAAATTAAAAAATGTCTAAATTGAAACTGTCAGTCTAAATGAAGAACATAAGAGATTTTTGAAGTAGGAACTATAAAATTGTACTATTTGAGTATGAAAAATGAAGAAAGGGGGGCTGGGGAGATGACTCAGAGGTTAAAAGCCCTGGCTGCTCTTGCAGAGAACCCAAATTTGATTCCCAGCACCCACATGGTGACTAACAGCCATCTATAACTCCAGTTCCAGAGGATCCAATGCCCTCTTCTGATCTCTGCAAAAATTGCACAACATGGACTCACTTAGACACATGCAGGCAATATAGTCATATACACAAAATAAAAATAATAAAAGATTTAAAAAGAAAAGAATAGTGAAGATAGGTTATCAAAGGTGATTCGGGACCTTGTAAATTGCATTGTAAATGATTATACTGTTAAAAAGAGAAAAGAGGAAAAGAACCTTTTGAATAGATAATGGATATCTTAATATAGATCTTCAATAAGATCTTCAATGGATATCTTAACATAGATCTTCAATGAGCAATAAAATTGGTTTAGTTAGCTCATCTTCAGCATGCTTTGTATTTTCATATTAATACTGGTCTGTAGTCTAGTTTTACTGCTCTTTTGTGTTTTGTTCCTTTTTTTAAGAAAATGTTAATATTAAAAAAATCACAATTTATAAATGTGATTTTTTAAATTGTTTTTTTTTTCTATTTTCAGAGTGCACATTTGGCCATGATTGATACCCTAATGATGGCTTATACCGTAGAGATGGTCAGCATAGAAAAAGTAATTGCGTGTGCTCAACAGTACTCTGCGTTTTTTCAAGCCACAGATCTGCCCTATGATATTGAGGGTGCTGTCGTGTACTGGATAAATAAGGTAAGCTTTTACTCAATTGAAAATGAGTGTAACAACCAGGAAAACTGAAATTCTCAATTAGCATTGTTAACTCAATGAATTTCTATTTTAAATAAAAGTGTAAGCTAAAGCTGTGAAATTTACTTGATATTTTTTATTTTAAAAAATCAGTTAAATCTGGACATGGTGGCACTTGGAAGGCTAAAGCAGGAGAGTCACTGTGAGTTCAAGGCCAGCATAGGCGACAGTGAGACCTTGTCTCAAAACAGAACTGTTGAAATGATGAAAAACAGATTTTTATATATTTGAAAATATAATTACACTTATATATTACTTAGGGTTAGTCTAGCTCATACCAGATTATTACAAAACATAGAACCATATAGCAGTGAATGTTTTTGAATGATTTAGTTTTGACACATTTCTAATTAGGAGACTCTTAGGTTTATTGGACCAAGTTATATAAAATCATACTGATTGTGGATTCATTTTCTTGGAGATTTTTATGGTTTGTGCTTTGAACATGGTTAAGATCATAATATAGCATTCTCTTCATCATTTAAGTAGTTAATTCTTCTTGACCCACATTTCCTCATTAATTTTGAGACAGGGTCTCACTATGTAGACCTGGCTGACCTCAGGCTTGTAGAGATCCTCTTGCCTCTGTCTCCCAGGGACTGGGATTATAGACCTGTGCCACCATGCCGTTTGATGCACGTTTGTTTACAGTTGTCACTGTAGGAAAAATTAAACCTGACTTGTGGACAGTCACCGAACAGATTTAGAAGTTACGTCTTTTTCTTTAAGTACTTGCGTGAAGCTTGTTGGACTAGGGAGATGGCTCAGTGATTAAAATGCTTGCTGCACAAATGAAGACTGCACTTTAGAGCCCCCAGAACTTACATGAATCCGGCAGCCTGCCTGCAGTTCCAGCACTTGGAAGGAGTACACAGGGAATCCTTTGAGTAAGCTGGCTAGCCAAACTAGCCATATTCATGAGCTCTGAGTTCACTTGAGAGGCCATGCCTCAATAATTAAGGTAGAGAGTAATGAAGGAAGACTCCTGACATCAACCTCAGGTCTGCACAGAATGGATACGTATGTGTATGCATATCTGCACACAACTCAGACACCACACACATTTACGTGAGAGAAAGAAAAAAAGTTAAATGTAAAAGTCATTTATCATTACATTATCAGCTATGTATTAGAAGTCCCTTTTAATACTCTGCCCCTGGAGTTCATCTTTAGTTTTTTTGTTTTTTTTTTAAGATTAAAAATTTAGGGGCTGGAGAGATGGCTCAGCAGTTAAGAACGCTGATTGTTCTTGCAGAAGACCCGAGTTCAAATCCCGGCACCCACATGGCAGCTAATAACTCTGTGTAACTCCAGTCCCAGGGGACCCAACAGTCTTTTCTGTCCTCCACGGGCATTGCATGACACAGGTGCACTTACCTACGTGCAGGCAATACACATATACACGTAAAAATAATAAAATACTTTTTAAAAAAGATTAAAAATTTAAATTTTAATTATGGTATCTGGATATAGGTAAATAATACATGAGTGGGTGGCCACAGAAACCCAAGGCAGAGCTGGAGTTATAGGCAGTTGTGAATCTCCCCTCCCCCACACACACACTGTGGGTACTAAAAACCAAACCTGGGTCCTCTGCAAGAGCAGTAAGTGCTCTTAACTGCTGAGCTATCTCTCCACCCCTTTTGTCAGGCCCTCTTATGCTGTGAATAATTAGGTTACATCCTAGACTTATTCAACACTAGAAACTATGACCTCACATCCCTTTGCACATTTCCTATTCCTGGTCACTTCCTATTATCTTTACTAGTTACTTTTCTGGTGCTATGATAAAACACCTATGACCAAGGCATCTTAAAGAAGAGTTTATTTTGGCTTATGGTTCCACAGGGAGAGTCCATAATGGTGGAAGAGGCATGGCAGGAGGTCTCCAGAGCAGGAAGCTGAGAGCTCACATCTTTAGGCACATGCAGGAAGCAGAGAAGGCAAAACTGGAAGTAGGGCAAGGCCTGAACTCACCAAGCCTACCCACAGTGACATACTTCCTCTTGCAAGGCCACACCTAAAGATTCCATGATCTTCCACAAACACTACCAGTTGACCAAATGTTCAAATACTTGAGTCTGTGGGGAACATTTCTCATTCAAACCACCATATCTTCCAAATCACTTGCCATAACCATTGAAAATACTCAGGGGACTGGTTGATGGCTCAATAGGTAAAGGCACTTGTTTTCAAGCTTGACAACCTGAGTTTAATCTCTGGGACCCAGATGGGTGAAAGAGAGAACTGACTTCCTAGAAGTTTACACAGACACACAGACACACAGACACACAGACACACACACACACACACATTGAATGTAATTTAAAAATATTAAAAATGTGTCAACTTGTAACTTTTTAAGTTCTTTGACCATTTCATGCATATGTACAGTATCTGATCATATCTACCTCCCCATTCCCTTCTCTCACTCCTTCTAGGCACTCCAAAGCACCCCCTCCTACCATCATGTCCCTTTTTTTTTTTTTTCCAAATACAATTCACTTAGTCCAATTAGTGCTGTTCACATGCTTAAGATAGGTGTGGAGCCATCCACTGGAGCATAGACAACCTACCAGCTGCCACATCCCTGAAGGAAATGGGTTCTCTCTTTCCTAGTAGCGTCAACTGCTAATAGCTCCTCAGTGCGGCCTCATAAGCCCCTCCCCCAAACTTGCTATAATGTTGACTGGCTTGGTCTTGGGCAGGTAACCACAGCTGCTGTTACATTGGCTCTGTCCTGTCCAGAAGACAGCATTTCACAGCATTCCTTATTCCTTACCCCTCCCCCCTCCAGCTCTTATTTCTTCCATAATGCCCCATGAGCCTTTGGGGGAGGGGGAATAATATCGATGTCCCGTGTAGGGACAAGCATTCAATAGTCACTCAACTCTTGGACAGTTATGAGTCTCTGCATTAACTGCTACCACTCCAAAAAAAAAAAAATGAAGCTTTTCTGACCAAGATTGAGAGCAGCACAAATCTGTGGGTATAAATATTTGTCAAAGGCAGTTTGATAACATGAACATTTAGCAAAACAGTAATAATAATTTCTGTCCCTGGGGCCTATGACCTTCCTAACCATGGGCATTTGACCAGGTTTACAGTGTCAGGCATGAATTGCTCTCTGTGAGCAAGCTAAAATCCAATCAGAGAGTGGTTGGTAACTATCATACCACTATTTCACCAGTGGACATATCTTGGCTGACTGGGATCCCTTGTAGCACATGGGATCTAACAGTAGGCAAGGCCATTGATGTCTTTTCTCCCCCAGGGGCTTGCATAACACTTTTCAGCACCATAAAGCCAGCCAGCAGGGAGGAAGTGTCCTATATAGAATGATTTCTTTATGTCCTGCAAACAAAGTGTATGCTATCTTCAGTAGTAGATTCTTAGCATCTGGTTGTTTTAGGTGCCTCTGAGATCTCCCTGACCAATAACTTTTAGGGGAGGTATCTCATGCCTGGTGCTAAGATTTTCATTTGCTAACCCATGTCTTCTGGGAACAGCAGCATTGCCCACCCTGAATGGGTACCTCTGTTCAAACTCCTTTTTTTTTTTTTTATTTAAAACCTTTTTAACTTCCCGGACTGATTTTTATTTCTAGAAGTTCAATTAAGTGTTTTATACTTTCTGTAGGGCACAGGTGAAGGTACACTGGATCTGTAGAAGAGTAATAGGAAGATGATGGAAAACCTCTTGGTACCTGGGAATTGGAAAGGTCAAGGCCTGGGCGCCCAGGACCACATGTGGAGTCAGTGCCTACCACATGTGGAGTCAGTACCTCGGACTGATTTTTATTTCTAGAAGTTCAATTAAGTGTTTTATACTTTCTGTAGGGCACAGGTGAAGGTACACTGGATCTGTAGAAGAGTAATAGGAAGATGATGGAAAACCTCTTGGTACCTGGGAATTGGAAAGGTCAAGGCCTGGGCGCCCAGGACCACATGTGGAGTCAGTGCCTACCACATGTGGAGTCAGTACCTACCATAACTGGTCATCAAGGGAGGTGGGAAGTCAATTCTTGAGAATCAGTCCTCCCAAGACTAGACTCTGCAAATGACAAACCTCCCCTGTTCCAGCCTAAGTCCAACACAGCAGCCAAGCCACTGCCATGCACAACCTGGGGACCTTCGGGGAGGGTTTGGGGGAAGTTCTGAGAAAGCTGAAACTGCTGCCCAACATCAGGAAGTCTGCCATTCTTGAATCTGCTCCACCAGAACTGAGGCTCATGGTTAGAGACCATAATTGTAACTCATGGGAGAGGGTCACAGTTTTAGGTTAATGGCAGGGGACCATAGCTCTAGCTCACAGAAGGAGCAAACTCCATATATATACATACATGTATGTATGTATGTATGTATGTATGTATGTATGTGTGTGTGTGTGTGTGTGTATAAACTCCCTGACAAAGTAGTAAGCTTCTGTAAGACTTTTTCATATATCCTTAGTTTTGGTTAACCCCTGCCCCCCCACTACTCTCTCCCATCCCCTTGTCTCCATACGTGCTTGAACCTTTGACCCCAATTGTCCTCCTCTCTACTTTAGTAGTGCATGTGTTTTAGTATCCCACTCCCCATTAAGACCTTTTCTACTTCCTGCTTCCCCCCATGGGCCCTTTCTGGCTTCCTAACCTCCACAGGTAGTCCAAGTTAAATTGCACAGTTCTAAAACTTTGAAGCTGAGATCCATATATGAGAGAGAACATAGGACATTTCTCATTCTGGGCCTAGATAATCTTACTTAGTATAATGCTTTCTAGTTCCATCCAGTTTCCTCTAATTGCTTAACATTATTTTTCATTATTGCTGAATAAAATTTCATTGTATGTACCATGTTTTTATTATCTATCTTGATGGATATCTAGGCTGGTTCTATTTTCTTGCTATTGTGAATAAAACCACAATGAATATGAAGTGCATGTATCTCTGTTGTAGGGTGTA